GATGATGCATTATATTGTTCCTTCTCGAGCGCGAAGATAGTTCGACATGATTTTTAGAGTCGAACATTATGATACGAAATACGATGATCAGATTTGGTGTCAAATTTATGATTGCAGGTTGGATTTCTTCTTCTCATCTTTCCCTCGGCTGCCCATTGGTTTCCTTCGGTCGGTTATGGACTGATACCGAATAGCGCGTTGTAGTATCAAGTAGCGTATGGTATCTTCACAGCAGACGAATAGACGAATAGTACAGCTTCATGACGAGACGAATAATAGTATTTCAGCATATTTGTAGATTGCCATGCATGTTGATGTTTAAATGGCGACCATACATCTACTTTCCATTCCATACCTGCAAATAGATATTGCGGCACTTAGCCGGAGCCCAAGAGTGAAAGTGGCCAATTTTCACTTTTGGGCGGCGTAAGATTGATCTTTTTTCTTCTTCTCTCTAAAACTGATCAAAAGTTGTCTGTCATTTTCTCTAAGCAGCAATATCTTATAAGCGATTGCATTTTACCTTTTGTGGCTCGATCACAAGAAGAAAACTTCGCCTGCTGCGGATGTTGTTCGAGAGAGCTCATCTTTTTTTTGTTTTTATGTGCACATTATTATTCCCAAAAAGCGAAAGAAACTAGAAAGACTTTACTTACGAAACGGCTTCGTGCGGTTAATGTGAACCGTACGAATGCGCGCGCCATCTCGTACAGTAATGCTAACCCGGTTTATTTCTATTATTTCAAAAGATCCCTCGAACTGTTGCGATATTTTAAGCCGACTTCTTTTCGAATTAACACCGAGTCTCCAACATAGTCACTTGGTTTTACTCTTTTTCTCACGTCGTAAAGATGTTTTTGAGCGAACTGAGAAGACTCCAGATTCTCCGTAACGTGTTCCCAGATGTTTCTGAGGATAGAACTTAATTGCTCGCGGGAGATATACCGCTGGATCGATGTTCTGTGATGGGTAAACCCCCGGGTCCTGAGTCATTTCCGAGGGGTAATATTGGGGCAGTTGCGGAAAGTAACTGGGAGGATACGCGAAATAGCCCCCAGGTGTCAAAAAGGGGTTTTTTGGAAATACCGCGTGCGCGAAAAGGATAGTTAGGCCGCGAACTTCCTCTCGTACTAAAGTTATAGGATGGACCAGGGCGTCGCTGCCTTCTCCCTCGTGCCCGAAGAACGGCGTTTCCACGACTTGATGTTTTGGGACCAGGTCTAAATGGTCGATTTTGCGCTAAGGACAAATTGTTAAGCTGTTCTTGCATCTTCTCAAGCTTATCGCTTACTTTAAGGGAGTTGACGGCCCTCAAAGCGTCGTGCTCTTCAGCTCGTTCTTGATCTAAAATTCTGGCCTCTTTTCCTGCGCTAGACACGACTTGTCGTAGTCCTCTTTTTTGGTAATCGTCTAAGAGCTTTCCGTATGTCTGACCTAAGACCCTTGACGAAAACGTCTATAGCTAATTGAGATATGATGTTTTTATACTGTCCTTGATACGGTATTTTAGCCTTCGCCAAGACTTTTCGCGCAAATTCTCCAACTGAATCTTTACCCTGCCTTAGACCGTGTAGCTCATCGCGAACGTTACTTAGGAGCGCTTCATTCTTACACTTTTTCGCCAGCTGCAAAACCAAGTCGTCCCAGGACATGGTTTTAGCGTTCTCGATGGAATTATATTTAAGCTTAGCCGACCCCGTTAGAAACATAGGCAGCAAAATCTTGGCATCCGGGTAAGGGATGTCAAACCGATCTATCGTGTCTACATAGTCTTCAAGAAATTCTTCGAAAGTCCTGTCCCCTATTCCGGAGAACTTTTCGATCCTTTCATTGAGAACCTTGTAGGAGCGATAAATAGGATGTTCAGGATCTGCGCGTCGGGGTTGAGCTTGTTGCTGCTGCTGCTGGCCTTGGTGCCGGTCTTGTTGATTTTGGCCCTGATCTTGTTGGTTTTGGCGCTGGTCTTGATTTTGACCCTGCTGAGCTCCAGATCCGCCTTGACCGTTTTGATCCATTCCTACTTCAAATTTGAAGGGACTTAGGCTTATATATTCTTGTTTCAACTGCTCTTCGAGTTCTCGTAGCTGTTCTTGTAGTTTTCTCTTCCGGATTCTTTCTGGGGTGCTGATTGGAGAAGAATACGGAGACTCGGTCTTCTTTGCTTTCGATTTGGATCGTGTTATAGGTGCCAGCTGGAGAAAAAAGAGAAGGGTTTTCTTTCTTGCACCAATTCCACCCTCAGCGTGGTCTCCTTCAAGTAATTCAAAGAAGGAAGAAAAATGAAGGGGAGACCGCGCTGAGTTTGGTCTTATCACGACAAAATTCGAAAATAAAAGAATTCAACTACATATCTTCCAGTGCATCCAAGAGAAAATTTTTACTCATGGAGACTGAACACAAGCGTAAATCTTTATGCACGAATAACAAACTCGAAGGAGAAAATCTTTATTCAAGAGCATTTCTTTATAGCGCACCGACGGTCGATAGACATTAGTTTTTATTTTTCAAAAAGAGTTCTCAGAAATGAAAAGACATTCATTAAAACCAAAAAGGGACACCGTCCTGCGCCAAAAAGAAAAAAAAGAAAGAAATATATCATAAGGATCTTTATTAAACCATTTCGAGCACCAAGAAAAACGCCAAGAAAAATGTACAACTTCTTCCATTCTTGCTCTTCTTCCATCCTTGCTCTTCTTCCATCTTCTTCCGTTCATCTTCTTCCATTTTCGGGAAGGTGGCCGTTCTTTTAGACGATCCCGATGCGGGTCCCGCCGCCACGGATTTCCGGAGCTCTAAGGAGACTCCGGGTCCGCGGGCGGTAGAGGCCCCCGGGCCTCCTCCGAACCGAAGTGGACCGAGGGGTCCCGGCGGAACCCGCCAGTCCGAAACGACCCCGGTCGTTGCGATCGATCTTCTTCTCGCTGCGCCCTTGTCGCCTCCTCCCATTCCTTCTGCTCTGGGCTTTGTACCATTTTCTTTTTCAAATAACTGAATAAAAATTTTTCTCCTACAAATGCACTGGAAGATCTGTTGACTATAAGGACTTATGACCAAAAAAAGGGGGGGGGGGGAACGGCGGATGTCAAAATTTCCATTTTTATTTTTTTTTCGATGGCGAGTGGCACCCCTAGGAGAGGTGGGGGGGGGGGGGAAGGGGGGGGGGCAAAGGGGAAATTTTAAAAAAACAAAAATAATTACTTAATCTATCTACTCTACTTATTTGTTTAGTCAGCGCAACGAATCGACAAAAGAGGAAAAAAAAGGAATGAAATTTACTTGGGCTGCGTCGCTGCGCCCCCGGCCGGGTTTATCAATTCCTTTTCTTTCTGCCCCTCCTTAATATTTACCGATATTCTTAGATTGTTACGCAGCCCCAAAAGAGGAGGGGGGAGGGAATCTTACAAAAAAAAACATATACGATAAAATTTATACTACGGGGACGGGGGGAGGGAATAAAAACGGGGGGTATTGGCCTCCTACCTCTCCCGGGGAAGCCGGAACCTCCATGTCAGCCGCGCCCCCTTTTCTCGGTCCCGCAGCGCGCGAGTCCGATACTAGAGGGGCCTCGGCTGATCACCGGCTCCAACTCCACTCCGAGGAATTTCACAAGACACGTATAACTTAACTACTTTACTACTCAAAATTATAAAATACAATTTTACTACTGGGAAAGATATCAGGATACTACTGAGATAACAACACTACAAGAGAGAGACTACAGAGAGAGACTAACGAAAAGAAGAAGATAAAAAGTGGGAAAAAGCATATCCGCCGTTCGCTCCGCTCATGGCAAAACGGCCAGGATATTTATACGGACAAAATTAATAAGGAGCCCTAAGCCAAGACAATACAGAAACAATACAAAGACAATAACACATTATCTACGGAAACACGAAATTAAAATCTAATTTTGGCGATCCGGCTCGGTGATGTACTTTCCGAGCACTTCGGCAGTTGCATTTGCAGAGTATCACAAAGCAATAAATCTCGTCACCGTTGCATTCATATCTGCCGCATACGTTCTGCCATTCTTCTTCCACCTATTGATGTGCTGATCTTACAAGTGAAAGTTTCTGATTTTGAACATGAAGATTACTCTTTTTTGTGATGCTTCTTTCCTAAGTTATGCCAGGTAAATTGTACTAACTAAACTCCCAGCGTTCGTCAGAAATGTAACTACACCTTCAAAAAAGCTGAAAACACTCGTAAAAAGTTGTTAGTGGGATCACTACACTTTTTAGAGTGACACAAGTGGTATTTAAGAGAAAAGTGTTTAAATAAACGCGATGTGGTACACAATGACAATCCTCGTTGAGCGAATAATATGTGTTTTTGAACTAAATAGGGTAATAAAATATAATAGTAACTAACTAAATAGGGTAATGCACTGAAACTGACTCTTATTATCAGCTGGTTTAACAAAAAGCACATTACTTCACTAAATGCGCGGAAACCCTAGTACACGACTTTTCAGATGTTTGAAAAAAAATATGTCAGATGGCATATTTCCAATGGTTCCATATGCTAGAAATTCTTACCGAATCTTACAGTAACGAAGGGCGATCGATGATTCGCTCCATACTGTAAATCTAAGTTGAACCTCTCTCTATAGAATGGTACCTAAAAATCGGCGAAAGACATCGAAGCGAGGAAGTTATTAACGTTTAAACAGTGTGCTTATTTTTTTACGACAACTGTATAAATGCGATGTGGTAAGCATTGACGATACTTGGTGAGCACATAGGGCAATGCACTGAATTGATTCACACTACTTCATTAAGTATATAAATGCTGATGATTTCTCTACGCGAGTTTTTACGAGTGACATAGCTGGTATATTAAGGGAAAAGTGTTTATATAAAGGCCATGCGGTACGCATTGACAATCCTTGTTGAGCACGTATGTGTTGTTGAACTAAATAGGGCAATGAACTGAAATTGATCCACATTACTTCACTAATTATATAAATGCTGATGTTCTCTCTGCGTGAGTTAACCAGTATGAATCGCTGGCGTGAACGTATACCTGCGATTTGCGCAAAACATGTCTACCTTCTCTACCTTCTATCTGCATTTCTTCTTGTTGTAAGTCTGAAAGTTTTCAATGTTACATATATAGTATATCCAACTCTGAAGGTGACACCAGTCCTGGGAGCGAAAAAATGTGAAACTCCTGGTTGCTGTGGTCTAGGTAAAAGAGAACCAAAGAAAATTGATGTGGAATTAAGTAAGAATGTGTCAGCAATGTTTCAGGCTAGTTTTTGTGATTTATAGTCTACTTTTTTTTAGCATTTGTTGTATACAGGGTGTCCCAAAAGTATGTAAGATTTGAACTCAACATAGCTCTCTTACCGCAAAATTTTTTAAAGACATTTAGATATCGTTGGTAGGGGCTGGTTTTTACTTGATTTACAGTATGAAGCGAATCATTGACCTCCCCTTATGACTGTACGATTACGGTAGGATCTAAGAAGGGTTTTGAGCTATCGATCATATTTGCCTCAGAAATTAAAGTTTCTACCTTAGTCCTATGAATATGATCGGCGATTTGCTCTCAACATTCTGTATTTAGAAAGCTGAAGCCAGCTGAGTGATTGGAAAGTCGGCAAAAACTTTGTAGGAAGAGTGATATTAGCGTGTTTACTTTTGAGACACACCTTATGATTAGCGACCTTCACAAGGAATTAATCTGAAAGCTGCCTTTTTTAGACAGGTGTTGCTTTCTGCTGTGCATGTGCTGAAGAACGTGATTGGCTAAGGTTTATCTCTGTTAGGTTTGTTACAGTCCTTCAGTAACCTGCATGTACTCGGTACAAGTGACGGCTCAGGCTTTTTACAGCGATAACGAGAATGCAATGGATAAGCTTTATGGCAAAATTGGACACACTTTGTATATGGTGGGTACATACCCCCATACCTTATTATCTCTTATCTTAGAGAAAGCCTAATGCAATATGCAGATAGAGAGTCTAGAATCGTCGTTCTTCTTCACAATTATTAAATTTCAGTTGAATGTTCAAAGTCGTGATGACTAGCCTATAGTCATTCGTAGCAGACAGCTCAACATTTTGAAGTGCTTGGCGGCAATATTTTGTTTTCAGGTGAAACAAATGAACCTAGTTTACGAATTGGGCATTGTGTGCAGACGCTTCACAAAGTATTTCACAAAGCAGAAGCTTATAAACAAGAGGATTGGTTGTTTTCTGTACGGAATGGAAGGAAACACGGACCCCAGAGATTACAAGGTTGCCTACAAATTAAGAGGAAAAGTTGCTAATGCTTACTTGGAGCCTGTTGTTTTGTATGAATATTAAGTTAGTTAATGTTTCGATATTTATGTTTAATACATGATGAACATTGATGAATTAAAATGGTGTAAAGGTGATCGAAAGTAAATGTACTATATCTATATCTTCGCAATCAATGCAAAAACTAAAGAAGCAAGAACTTTAGTGGAGAATTCTGAATTGAATCAATGGATTAACTTTCATAAAACTTTATGAGCTGGCGGTAACTAACTAGTCACTTTTTTCAGACAGGACACTTATGTTTGAATGGCGAAATGCTGGGCTAATTAGCTATTCTTTGCTGTACATTTTCTTTACTCACATTCAGATCAAATAAAGTCAAAAAGCTGTTTTTTCTGTGCAAAAGATTGGAACGTGCTAAATCTTAATCATCTTGTTTTTGGTTGAGAAAACATAAAAGGATTGAATTTGGAGATGACGTGTTCTTTAATTTGTAGCGTTACCATATCATACTGGTCCCTTACCCCTGTATATGAAAAACTAAAGGCTGTGCTTATACTTCTCCGATACGGTAAGAACACGAAAAGAACATTCAAGGCGGTTTGACAATGATATTGCCGAAATTGTTAGTGATACATATGTTTCACCATTTCAAAAAAAACTTTTCTTCTTCTACCTCAATAAATGTCGCTTGAACTTTCAAATATTTTGAGTTGAGAAAGCCTTTGTGACAGCATTGAAACAAAAGTTACGTTCAATGCAGCAACAACTTTCGGGCCAACCACGACTCCTTTGCGTTTTATACCACTAAATATCGCAAGTTTATTAGAGAGCACGTTCGCTCGCACCATCCATCCACAATTAGCGTTATTTCGGCAAGTACCTGAATTTGCGTCAGTGCTCGACTCTTGTTTCCGCTCTACTCTGTAGAAAACGTTTGTTTACATAATCTTGATTCAACTGGCTTGGCGGCTAGAAAGAGGGGCTTTGTGACCTAACAAAGGCCGCTCGCGCCGCGACGCAGTCTGCGTCTCTCTCGCGCGCGTGCTCTCTGATCACTATCTAGCCTTGATTAGGTCACGATGCCCCGCCTCCCAGCAGCCAAGCCAGTTGAATCAAAGGGTACTTGATGGAATTAATTGATTATGGTTGTGTACATCTACTGAAATTCGATATTGCCCTTCAGAAAGCATTATCCGTGAATGATGCGTCCAACTACTGCATGACATTCACATGTTATGCGTCACTATTGTAAGCGATCCGTTGATAATCTAGGAAGTTATTAGCTCATTTTTTGCCTCGATGACAGCCACAGTCTCCTGCAACTAGCTCAGCATTTTCACACACACCGGAAGGGTACTGAGTTTGGCGAACACGGGAAACCTCGTTGGAGCAGAAGATAAGCATGCATTGGAAGCACATTTGATGCACTTGATGATACTCGCTAAACTACACAGGCGGTGGATTCTTCTCGCACCGTCTCTGTAGTTTAGAATTGATACAATTGTGTTGGTGTAGGCAGCAGCTCAAAAAGCCTATAATTGCATGATCTAAGTTTTGTATAAGTACCCTCACAAAAGCTGAAACAATTGGTACTGCCTAGCAAATTGCTCAATCAGCAACTTTGGTAATAGAAGAATAGCTATCTATAATTAATAGATGAAAAATCAGCGCATGCTTTCTTAAACCTCGGGGCACCAGATGAACTCAAATCATTGTTTCACTCTAAACATGACAAAAAAGACACACTTCAAAAGTAACTGCTGAAAATGCACTGATAAAAAAATGTCAGCGGGCAACGGGACATTTGTTACTGATTGAGACTCGAAAGCTTGAGATGAACATGAGCTGAAGTCATGGAAGCAAATCTTGGAAAATCATTTGTAAGAAGTATGAGGATTTACTGGAATGTTTATTTACATGTTTTGCACTCGAAAGCAGACTGGCAAAGCTGAGCTCAAAACTCGCAAGATGAAGATGAACGATTAGAGTGTACAAATGATAAATGTTGCACTTACTTAATTACAAATAGTTACTTACTTAGATGGCCCGTCTTCACGTTGCAGTAATGGTAGGATATGAAAACAGATCGTATAGCCAAAATTATAGGGTGCAAAAAGTACTGTCCTTCAGTTTGCCTCCCAAAACCTCATAGATGGAGAAAATTTATGGTTTTTTGATTCCATGTAGGCGAGACCTTGCAGTTTACACTAAGATAAGTTTGATTTGGAACGGTTTCCTTTTGTTTATTTAATCGAGTGGTAACGGCGCGCAGCATCATCGACGATTCGCCGCAGCGTTTGGGCGCAATTTTGGACCGTAACTATACCAGCAAGAGTGATATCAGTTCCAAATTAAGGTAACATGTAGAGCATAATCTCCTCTCCAAAACTCTACACTTATTATGGATTAGCGACTTGAATTTGTCTAAACAAAGAAAATTATATCCCAAGCAAAATCCAAAAATTCTCAAAAAGAAGCTAATCAATTATGCTCTTGCTCAATGAACTGGATCCACTATGATTCGAATTTCCAGATGCCAACAAAAATAGGAATAATGAAAAGGACATCGGGCTTTGTATACATTACAATTTTGAGTCAATAAACAATGGTACTTAGTTTCTGTGCCACATTTTCTGATCGCCCCCTGTTGCGCCGCAGACGCTACTTCGTTAAAAAATTTCTCAACTTTTCTACTACTGCAACTGCGATCCGGATACTTCCAGGATATTTCGAAGACACTACAACATTCCTTAAGCAGTAGAAGATTTTTCAAATTTAGTCGGAAACAAAAGAATTTCACAAAAAAAACTTCACACTTTCTTCACATCTGTAAAAGTGAGTTGCAAGTATTGATATGGGATGGGTTGCGAAAAGGGATCCGCCGCCGTTTGAAATTGCAAAATTTTGAAGCCAGTTTTTGTAAAATGCAAGAATACATTCACGTCTTAGAATTAATGTCAAATTTGGCAGAAAAATCTGTGATTTGCCGATTTTTCTGCCTTGTACTTCTTCCGCACCCTGTACAATGAAAGGTTGTAGGTCTTTATTTTTTGGTGAGGTAACAATACCGCTCGTGATTCGTCAGAAAATCACATAACGAATTCACGGAATTTCCGTCCCATCGTCGTATCTTAGCCCAGAGTTAACAAATGTGAATCAAGGGCACTGTCTGACTTAGCTCGGCAAAGCTGATCTTCTATATGTAGAAATTTTTGTTTGGATAAGCTAAACTGTCAGAAGAGAATTTGCCTACGCTGAGGTACTCAGAGTATAAAGAATAAGCACACTGAGTAACCTGCCTGAACGAAAATTCAGAGCCATTCGTGAAGTTTGTCCCTGTCACCGTGCACCTCTGGTAATCCGAAAGGGCATTTCCAGAAAACCAAAGATGCGATTGCTGAGCTGAGTCAAACGATGCCCTTGGATGCAGAATTTGTCTAACCTGAAACAAATTATGGCGATGCGACCCGCTTACTGCTAATTATAAGCGGTACTTTATTTTCGACAAATTATGCGTGTGAGTTGTTTACCGCGTGTGTGTCACAGTTGCGTCTCCGTTTGATATTATACACGCTTTATATATTTCAAGGAGAGACCATACATTTAAAAGCGATGGTAAGCCCACATTGACATTACAGTACATTTCTGGTAAGTACATAGGTTGTGGGCGTAGTACATACAAATTAAATGGCTTGCACTAAAACTCGGTTTTGTATCATCAGCTGGTTCGACAAAAGGCACATCCCACTAAGTATATAATTGCTGATAATGTGATTTAATTGAGCTCAGCAGTATGAATTACTGGCTTGAACGTTTACCTGCAATCCGCGAATATGTCTTCCTCTTATCCACACTTCTTGTAGCTGTAAGTTCGAAAGTTGTCTTCAATGTTACTTGTATATAAATATCCAATCCAAAGGTGACGCCAGTGCTAGGAAAATTTGTATCCAATCCAAAGGTGACGCCAGTGCTAGGAAAATTTGTATCCAGTCCAAAGGTGACGCCAGTGCTAAGAAAATGTGGAATTTCTGGTTGCTGCGGACTACGCTGTAATAAGTTGAAACCAAGCGATTACGACATGAAATTTTTACGCCGATATAAGTTGAAACCAAACGATTACGATATAGAATTGACTAGAAATGTGTCACAAATGTTTGAGGTTGGTCTTTGAGATCTTAAGCAAATTTTGACGATAAACATTTGTGCTGTGTACAATGAGCTCGTACTCTTCAGGTAGATGTTTTTCCCTGCCCTCTATGCGCTGAAGAAGATCAAAAGTGGATCAGCTTCGTCGCTGTGAAGTTTGTTGTAATTCTACAGCAGTACAAATCATTATCTAATATTCTTTTTTTGTTGCAGAGATTATGATGATGAACAAGCAATGGATGATCTTTACGGAAAAATTGGATTGAAATTGCACGGGGTGAGTACACAAAACTACTGACTTGAGCGCATTTCAACAAAACTACACCAATATTTCAAGCCTGAGCTGATGTTCTGTTAAACAACCTCGGCTACAAAACAATCGCTAATCAGTTAAATACTCCCGAAAGCATGGCAACAACGTTCTCTTTCCAGGTGATAAAAAAGGAAGAAGGTATCGGAGTGGGTATTCTGTGCCGTCGCTTTTTAGTACGGCGAAAATGGCTAAAATGGCGCAAAAAGAAGAGGATTGGTTGCTTTATCTACAGAAAGGAAGCATACAAACCCAAATCCAAAAAATCTTAGGTTCCTCCCTAATTTGTGAGCAGCTGCCCCCCCCCCCATGCTTACTCAAAGTCTCATTAATTATTTCAATATTTTGACGTGTGGAGATGGTTATAAGAAAATAAAGCTAGGTGTCATATCAGTCACCATCAGTAGATGCAGACGCTGACACGACTCTGTTCATACCTTTCTTCCTACAAAGTCATTTGCCGACTTTGGGTAACACTGGTGCAGAGGCCTTGAATTAAAGTGATTTTGGAACTTTACCGATCTCTTTTCATTACTGAGCACGATAGGAACTTTGAAGAAAGTTTTGAGCCATTAAGGGGCATTTTTTGCTTGAGAAAGAGAATTAAACATCCATATCAATCCACACTGTGATAATAAGGCAATCAGAACCGCTGACTTTGCATTCATAACTTATGCCAGGTACACAGTAACGACGGGTTTTCCAGTGTTACTTACAAAAGTGATTATACAACTCGGAAATTCAAAAAGTTGTTAGAATTAACAGCATGCGCGAAAACACTGCTACAAAATTTTTCAGATATTTTTTGAATTTTTCCAAACGGTCTTACATATATGTACAACCATGTGCAACCATACTATGCAACACAATGCCGCAGTATTTTGGACTCTACCCTAATCTTACAGTGATGAGGCGCGATCGCTCCACTCATCTATGAATCTAAGAAACCAGCACCACGAAGAACCTTGAAGGTCGACAAAAAACGTTGCGGGAAATTCTAACGTTCAGATACTGTACCTTTTTCATATTTTCATATTTTTGCAACACCTTGTATCACTCAAAATTACTGTCTCGCCACAGTGTAGTCAGCAAATCTTAAAAATTACGATATGTGGAATACACGGTTATAGGCTATAGCTCATCTGCTATCCAGTAGTTATTTCAGCGATAAAACTATTAGGCTGCGCATAAGTTTGTTTACATCATAGAAAGTCTTTCGGACACGTTATGAAAATGGGAGTAATGATACAGCCATTTCACTACACTGCGAGAGCTACCCAACTAACTAGGGAAGCTTGTGTAGTCGAAACGGCCTTTCCAGATGGGACCCATACTGCTTTGAAGAGCATTAAGCGGTGATTTCGATTCTGCCTTCCAAATCTGCCAAGCGCGTCTGGATGCCGAGTTATGGGTGTTTTTCATGTCAAAAAATGGAAAACAAAATTGAAACAAAATCGCCCAAATTTGCTCAAGTGGTCAGCCCTATTAGTATAGAGCCCTTTATGCAATGGATACATTTTATCTGCTTTTATCGTTTTATATGCTAACACCTAACGTTGCTTTATCTGAGCGCTGTAAGGTTTTTAACAATCAATTTTACCCAAATTCTGCATTCATTTTTCGTTCCAAAAAACGACCATAACTCGGCGTCCAGAGGCGCTTAGCAGATTTGGAAGGCAGATTTGGAATCACCGTGCAATACTCTTTAACACATTGACGACCATGCAGATTTTTTTTGTCTATTTTCTGGGACCAAGGCCTTTGACGGGCCAGCCCACACTTTTCAACTATAATTACGCATGCTGTGCCGACATTGTCGGCACTTTATCTTTACTCTCACCGAAGTACCATAAAGGTCATGCCATAAGCATGGCCTGCTGTGATACCATTGAATTATCTTGCTCCGCCTGTTACCGTCAGCATTCTACCACAGCACCCACGAGTGCAGGTCGCCTGTTCATAAAGCTTATTAGCTAATGTGTACTAAATAACACACTCTACCAGGCGCTATTTTGCCTAAGGCTACAGTAAAGCCTAGAACCACCGATACATTTGGTGCATCGGCCAAATTCGAAGGCCGATAAAGTGCTTCGCTTCTGACAGCGGCACTCGACGAACGATGAGGATCTCGACTTTCCTCACAGAAGTAATCAGAACGTCTACCAAAGAACTCGCGGAACTAATACAGAAGTACGCGGGCTGCGGTGAGATAAAAATCCTTCCAGATGACGATCAAGAGAAGCAAGATCTATGCGCTCAGCATCTGGATTCGCTAGCAAAGTGCAAAATGGAAGTCGAAGAAGCCATTGAATTGCTGCAAATGGATTACGAGATATTGATGGAAAGGATTGAGGAGGTCGAATCCGAAGCTGCGAAGAAGTTAATGAAAGAGGAATGGATTGCATTCAAAAAAGAGATAAGATTTTTCACAACCTTTACTGACGCTAAAAAGTTTTTCTGTGTCCTGCAAGATCGCATGGCAGATGCTGAGATGGAGTTAGCACGACTGGAACGCCAAAGAAGGTTAACCAGCGCAAGGCCTAACAGGGAAGCATCAAAAGTCACCAAGTCCCTACTAGATAGCGAAGAAATCCATGTAGGATTGGCCATGGATAAATCAGATGATTTACATGGAGAGAATGAGGAAAAGACAGCCAAAGTTGCGTTTGAAAAAGAATTCACTGAATTGGAGCGAAATGCGATGAAGAGCACTATCAACAATGATCAATATCACTTGGAGCAAAAGTCCTTCCCCATTGCTGATACTCTTTTGCGGGGGCAGGTCATGACACCTACGGTGCCACGAGCAAAGTTTCCGACAGCTGTTTTTGAAGGCACGGACATAATAGAGGTACGATCAAATCCGACTGCCATACAATCTGAGGAGAATGAAAAGTTCTCCTCCACTTCGTGTTCTTACTACTTCGTATTCCGTTACTTGTTGCTGGTTCCACTGTCTACAGCCTTTCGCCATCGCCTCCCGTCAAGAGCACTGGACATCCACACTGCCGACGCGACTCGTTACTCACCAAATCCCGCTACGAGATCCAGACAAACGCCACCTCGACAACGTCCATTGCAGTATTCTGACAAAGACGTTATATTTGTGCTCCATTTCGCTGTTCATTTCCCTCGCTGGCCGGAGTGTGCCGACATTGTCGGCACTTTATCTTTACTCTCACCGAAGTACCATAAAGGTCATGCCATAAGCATGGCCTGCTGTAATACCATTGAATTATCTTGCTCCGCCTGTTACCGTCAGCATTCTTCCACAGCACCCACGAGTGCAGGTCGCCTGTTCATAAAGCTTATTAGCTAATGTGTACTAAATAACACACTCTACCAGGCGCTATTTCGCCTAAGGCTACAGTAAAGCCTAGAACCACCGATACACATGCTGCCATCTACAGCACACCTACAGTAAATCTAAAAGGCTGGTAAAAAAAGGTAGAGGCCATCCTTAGGTTCAGTGCAAAAGAAAGCTCATGGAGTGAGGTTATACCAGAATAGCAGTCATTTTTACAAAATTTGAGCCTTGACACACATGGTGTGTCAAGCGGTCCCACGCGGTAGTCATTGCTTGACACACCATGTGTGTCAAGCGGTCGTCAATGTGTTAAAGCAGTATGGGCCTCATCTGAAAAGGCCACTTCGACTAAACATGCTTCCCTTGTGAGGAAATTGACAATCAAGCGAAATACCAATGACATTGAGCTTCAGCTGCTGAAAGAGCTAAGGATTAGCCAGTCTTCGATCATCTCAGTTTGCTCAAAACTCTGAACGGTTTAAAGAGCTACGATTGTAACGCAATCTTATTTTTACTGCTTTCGAACCCACTCAAACTGAGTACCATGTCTATATTTCTATCGATACGATAGCCGAACGTCAGCCAATAGCAATCTAATCAGTAAAAGGAGTACTGGTCTTATACTTTCAATAATTGCTCCTCTTTTCATCTCAATAAGTTCTTCGAGAAAGGCCGTACGATTTGCGATGTATACGATAGAAATGAATGTCATAATTCGCAAATGCTACAACAATGTTCGGAATATTCATCCATTGCTTCTGTCAGTAAGCTTCAATTTTTTTTCGTAAATCCCTAAGATAATCATCACAAAGGTAATGATTCTTTCGAAAAAATGATATTGAGCAAATCCACAAGAATAAAAAAGTTACGATTGGTGTTAAACCTTGGACAGCTATACAGGGTGTCCCAAAAACTGTGCCTACTAGTTGCGAATTCCACATTTAGAATCAGCAACTCTATTTAGCCCAGTGTGAAAGTTTTCACACTCTTTTTTTCATTCTGAGGCAAATGGCCTTTCATGGCTCAAAAACCTATTCGATGTTTCTACCGTAATCCTACAGTAATGGAGAGAGATGTGTGATTCATTTTATACTGTAAATCTAAGTTGAAGCTAGCTCCACAAAAAGTTACCTAAAGCTTCTCGAAAGACTTCATTACAAGAGAGTTATTAGCATGGACACTCAGCTAAAGCGGTATCAAGAAGAAGAATGACGGCTTTCATCGGTCACTCGGTGCTCAAAATGTTGCTCCATCAGGCGCGACTGACGGGTGTGTGCCCTTCTGAACCGCTTCTTCCTAGCGCTAATTACTCTGCCCGGGCGGCGCTAATTACTCCGCCTTTCTTATGATCTATCAGAGTTTTCAAATATTTCTGAGCATTTCAAAGCAAGCGAGGCACACGAATAATGATAGTGACGATGTTTGAATTATGAAGACAGAAAGTTTGAAAAGTTGCGTTTTTTTCTACTGGGCTTTCGTGATTTCTTGCCATTCCCACTTTTCAATTCACCATGAAGTCTGCACGTGTAAGCTAAAGAATTTACCTAAGCCGCCCACGTATAACATTTTTGAGTTTCATGGGAAACTCGAAATCTTGTTTAATTTTTTTCATCATGAGAATGCCTTTTGCAGTCCACTTCAGACGTCTCTAACGACAGCATAGCTCTCGCCTACCCAGGCGCCACGGCAGCGCCGACCAATCAAAGGCGCGCAGTCATTAGGCTGCTAATGCTAGCGGTTCAGAAGGGCCGTCTCCCGCGACTGACTACTGAAGAAGCGAAAAGTGATTCGGATAATAGACATCTTGCTCTGCTGAGCATCAGTGAAAAGCTAACTAAAAATGGATTATACCCAATGAAAACATATTTTCGAAGCTAGAATGTGCTCTTCTTCGTGCTTATAAATCCATTTACAAGTTCATTATTACTGGTTTTTTGTTGATTTTGATTCAATTCACTGTGAGAAGAGATTAAAAGAGGCACATTATCGTGACTAAAGGAAAGTGAAAATTTTTTTGAAGGATTTAAGCAGCTGAACTTGATGATATGGGGGTACTAGGTAGCATAATGCCCGGCTTTGTGCGAAGTGAAATTTACTCGCTTCTATGACAAAGAATAGATTAGAAGACGAGCATCAAAGCTACAACATCTTGATGTCTTATTGTGGATTATATTCTACGACGTTTGATGTTAGTGAATAGATGTTTCCACAAGCAGAACATTTATGATGGAATTGAGAGATCAAAATTCAGTGCTAGTCAGCCTCAATAGCATATATTGCCGTTAGCTGCTGGTCTTTGCTGCAATTGAGCTTAGTGAAATGCTCCGCAAGTCAGCTTATTGATAGCTTAAAAACCGAGTACGTTTCTGATAGGACCATCATTACAATACCGCTCACAGAATGTGCAAAATTTCCGTGAATGTCGCGAAATTCCGGAAAGTTCGCGAAGTTTCGCGAATGTCGCGAATTTTCGGAATTTTTCACGGAAATTTTACATCTTTTGTGAGCGGTATTGTACTTCCATTAGGCTCGGGCAGAGTTCACGCGATTCGATCGTCGTCAGCGCTACAAGACAAGTGTTACGAGTTCATTGCATGCCGATCTTCTTGTACTTTGGTTGCGATGATTAGTTACGATTAGTCGTGTTGGAAAACTCTACAAATCGCGTCAACTCTGCTCGAGGCCTCAGTGCAACTTCGTTGACGTATCTATATAATAAGGAATAGGCTAGGCTATGCCAAACAACAACAGCACACTGCGTGTCCCTGCTGAGAGATAAAGGAAATTCTCTGAAGCGGAAACTATTATCAGTGATGAAGATGAATTTTCAGAGATCGTTAATTGTCAGTCTGTGAGATGATCATGTGCTTTCGTAGTAATAAGCGAAAGCCATATTCTATTTAAAACTGTTTTAGTGAGGAACAAACTCGTTTTATTCTGTGGCTTTTCTCAATCTTCGTTCGATATATGTTGATTGCGGGCTGAACGAAAATAAAACTATTCATATAGAAATAGAATATGTTTAGGGCGATTCACTTGAGCTGCAACTCTTCAATGTCTGCCAAAGTCATTATCTTCATTCTGAATGCGGTGCTGAACACTCTAGTCATCTTGCTCGACATTCTCGTCATCTGGGCTGCTATCAAAACTCGAGCGCTCTATCGCAATCGTATACTTCACATAATAACAACAGCAATGCTAATGGATATCGCATTTTATATAAATTTTATTGTGCATGACGTACCAAGCTTTGCACTTGAAAGGGACTTTACATGTGAGAATGCTTGTGCTCTTTTCTTACTTGTCATTTGTTTCTTTCTCTTTCTTTTCGTGACAACGGAGGGGGGGGGGGGGGAACGGGCGTGTCTTTACGCTAGAGCGAAGATCTTGAGTTGGTCTACAGCACTGGCAGTGCCGCTTTTCAAAACTGCGTTTTAAACGCAATAAAGCGCCGGAAGTGCCGCATTGCTATAACTTCTTTCAGGTTACTCCTATCGAGCTCTGGTTGAAATATTTGGAACTAGCGGTGTCTGGTGCATCCGATAGTATGTTTGAAATTTGGGAAATTCACAATTTTTTTGTGCCCCACGGCGCAATAAACGCGATATTGCGTCGAAAGAGCCGCATTCGAATAACTTTTCACAAAACAACTCTTTCTGATCCACGTTGTTATATTTGGACTCAGCATTGATTGTTCTATCCAACAATATCTTCAAAATCTGAAAAAGTCAATTTTTTTTATGTGCCGCAGGGCACAATAAACGCGTTTTTGCGTCGGAAGTGCCGCATTGCTATAACTGCCTTTATATTTATCCCACAAAAATCTTATTTGCACAATTGTCATCAGTGTCCTTTGAGCTATCTGCTGATGTGTTTGAAGTTCAAAAAACCTCATTTTTCAATGAATTACACGTTTTAAATCCCAGTGGTCATTCTTTTTGCACTGATAAGCTGATAACGATCTTTAAAGTGGTCGTATAGAATTTTGAACAACATATCTGAAATCAGCTCTTTGCAAGCTATCCAATGATATGTTTGAAAACCTAAAAATCTCATATTTTTTGTTTCCGATTTTATTGGTCCCTCATAGTGGTATTACTAGCTAGGCTGGCTCCGGCCCCTAGCTGCCGTGACCTATCATTATCGATTTTTGCCAGAAAATCACTTCAGTCTGATAATACACTAGAAAGTAACTCTATATTTCTGTCCTGTATAGTGAAAGTACCGTGCATTTCGATTTTGAAATTCTTCACGATAAATTCGATTTTCAATTTTTTTTTTGAAAATTTTTGAAATTACCAAAACTTTTCAAGATTTAGGATCTAAATGTAACAATCAGTGACGATTTCGGAAAGCCGCTATTTTTGAAGCAGATATTGCCAGCCTTGCCTAGATTTTAAATTTTTAACAAAGGAAGCTAGATTCAAATCTCTGTATTTGTGGAGATCCTTCTGACCTGAAACATTCAAAAGTTCTGCTAATTATTTACAAATCAAACTCTCAACCATGACTTCTATCTGTACATCTGACCCTAACATATATACGAAATTCATGAAAAATTGATATAGTTAGTGGTCATTCCTGATTATAAGACATGACTTTTGGTTTGAGTCGAATTTCTTCTTAGAATTTCCGAAGTCAGTGACATTCCGACCTAAATGATTTCGAAACAACGTTGGAATCGAATGAGAAATTTCTTTCAATTTTCTGTCGTTCTGAAACAATGCGAAGAGATAACCAAATCGCTGATATAAGAGCTTGAACACTTTGTTAATGCCCTCTTCTTATAGCTAGGATAATTATGCTGGCCCAATATGGCCGGCTACATGTTTTGAGGTGGTTTAACACTCTTGCAGAGCGCGACACTATTGATTTCTGATGAGTACCTGAATCTCATGAATATAGAGAAATTAGATCACATTTTGATTCTCTTCGAAATTGGAAAGACTTGACGCAAGAATGTTTAGAAAACTGAACGAGTTATCAACAACTCCTTATCTTTTCTCAGCTATCATTGAAGAGCCCTAATTTTGACGGATTCAAAATCAAAAATTTCCAAAACTGTGAAGTTGAGAATGCCACCCAGGTGCTGATTGACTTGGAGAAAACTGATTTTCAATAGTTGCAAGACTTATCGAGCTAGCCTTCCAAAAATCAGAAAATATGAATTTTGCCACTGAAATCTAATAGCTAGAACATGATGATAACTGCAAGAGTTGGAACCATCCTTCTCAAAAGCAGAATTATTATTTTTGCTGTTGAAAAAATGTTTGACTAGATTTTCTTGTTTCATTTCAAAATTTCTGGTAAGGACGATATAAAGGTCGTTCTTCTTTTACCGAAATGGAAACACAGCCATGTTGAGAAAAGAGTTCGAAATTTTCGACGCAATTTTCGAATTTTCAATTTTGAACATTTTTGAACAATTTTTTTGAACAATTTTCGACAGTTCCTACTTTTGAGAAGCCTAGCTGCAGTTCTTGCCGTTTATGATCATGTTTTCTAGCTATTGTGAGATTTGAATGGCAAAATTCACATTTTCTGATTTTTTCTTGCAACTATTCAACACAATTTTTTTCTAAATTAATCAATATCTGGATGGTCTTCGTTAGATGACTCCGCACCTTTGGACATATCTGTGTCAGCTGGGTGTATGCACATTCCAGCCAATTCGAATGGATAAAATAAATGCGGGGCCTATACATGTTGCCGTGATTTCAGGCTAAAGGACCCATATAGTTTCATAAAATACGAAATTTGCACAAGAACATTTCAGAATTGTTTTTGAAATTTCAATAAACATGTTTATGGCTTCAATACTTTAAAACTTCCAGGATTCAGTTATCAAAAACCAAAGTATTGGATTTACGTGGAAAGTCGAGGAGAAACAAAGTGCATATAAATGCTGTCTTTCCAATCACAGCAATGTGGTTCACACTATTACATGTCAAACTCTCAAATTTTACATTAATTGGTTCGAAATCGTAACTACATTGATAATTCCAAAAAATTAATTCGCATTTAGTGATTTTGGAAGTCAGAAACTTCAAATTTTTTTATTTGCTTATCATTTCGATGGTTTCCAGAATTTTAAAAAATTTCAAAGCACGGGTTCGTGATTTTGAAATTCAGAATTATATGAATTGTATTTTTTCTGTTCAATCAAACTGAAGTGAAAAGAAATCCAAAAAGTAATTCTGTTTTTAATCAGTCGAATTGGATGCAGCTGCACGCAGCTGACACAGCCATGCCCAGACGTGCGAAGTCATCTAGCGAAGATTATCCACATATCAAGAACCTGGAAAAATGTAATTTTCAGTTGCAAAAGTTGATGAGTAGAGCTAAGCTTGTCAAAGATCCGAATGATTCTTCCTATTGATCACAATAGCTAGAAAACAAGATCAAGTTCGGCAAGAACTGGAGCTAGGTTTCTCAAAAACCTGAAATTATTACTTCTACTGTTGAAGAGTTGTGAGTTTGACTTGTAAATGACTAGCAGAACGATTTTGAATGCTTCAGCTCAGAAGAATCTCCAAAAATACAGAGATTTGAATCTAGCTTCCTTTGTTAGAAATTTAAAATCTAGGCAAGGCTGGCAATATCTGCTTCAAAAATAGCGGCTTTCCGAAATCGTTACTAATTGTTACATTTAGATCCTAAATCTTGAAAAGTTTCGGTAATTTCAAAAATTTTCAAAAAAAATTGAGAATCGAATTTATCGTGAAGAATTTCAAAATCGAAATGCACGGTACTTTCACTATACAGGACAGAAATATAGAGTTACTTTCTAGTGTATTATCAGACTGAAGTGATTTTCTGGCAAAAATCGATAATGATAGGTCACGGCAGCTAGGGGCCGGAGCCAGCCTAGCTAGTAATACCACTATGAGGGACCAATAAAATCGGAAACAAAAAATATGAGATTTTTAGGTTTTCAAACACATCATTGGATAGCTTGCAAAGAGCTGATTTCAGATATGTTGTTCAAAATTCTATACGACCACTTTAAAGATCGTTATCAGCTTATCAGTGCAAAAAGAATGACCACTGGGATTTAAAACGTGTAATTCATTGAAAAATGAGGTTTTTTGAACTTCAAACACATCAGCAGATAGCTCAAAGGACACTGATGACAATTGTGCAAATAAGATTTTTGTGGGATAAATATAAAGGCAGTTATAGCAATGCGGCACTTCCGACGCAAAAACGCGTTTATTGTGCCCTGCGGCACATGAAAAAATTGACTTTTTCAGATTTTGAAGATATTGTTGGATAGAACAATCAATGCTGAGTCCAAATATAACAACGTGGATCAGAAAGAGTTGTTTTGTGAAAAGTTGTTCGAATGCGGCTCTTTCGACGCAATATCGCGTTTATTGCGCCGTGGGGCACAAAAAAATTGTGAATTTCCCAAATTTCAAACATACTATCGGATGCACCAGACACCGCTAGTTCCAAATATTTCAACCGGAGCTCGATAGGAGTAACCTGAAAGAAGTTATAGCAATGCGGCACTTCCGGCGCTTTATTGCGTTTAAAACGCAGTTTTGAAAAGCGGCACTGCCAGTGCTGTACATGAGTGCAATGGCTTGGTATTATCGATGAGTAGATAATCAATAAGAATTTTTCAATAAGAATTTTTGAAAGCTAATAGTTTGAAGGGACACCTTCCCTTCAAAAAGTTCCTACACCTCCACTCAAAAATTTTAGGTGTACAAACGAAAAGAAAAAATTATCCTAGAGTTAGAAGGAAAAAAATTCCAACAACCCTCTGTTTCTTCATTCCTTAACGGAGTTTTCAATGTGGTTCCTTTTGGGCACTGCCCTCTCCCAGTGTATATTGAGAATCCAGCCAAAGACTTCTAAAAAGAGCTTTATCGTTTCAGGCTCTGTATTCACATATGTATCGGTCTTGGTCATCGCTGTGCAATGGTTTACCCAGCTGTTCTCTCTGCTATTCCTATCCACTGTTTACTTTTTCGCTGTATTCTCCTCTAAAGGTTTTCGCACAATCTCCTTGAGAAATGTAAAGATTGCCAACTGTTCTATAATATCGCTCGGACTACTGCTATCTGGTAAGCCAATTGAATTTTCTGCCACACCCTCAGAATTATCCTTAGTCTTTAGTACCCTTTTTGACGAAATATTGTGGGTACAAATATTATCTGCAAGGCCATTACTGGTACTTCGATTTTGAGAAACCTTACACGTATATCTACGCAAAAGTGAATGTAGCGTTGCAGGTGGCCAACTTTGAATCCCATCTCCTTAAATCTTGAGTTTGATTTTCAGGGTATATGTGTAGCCACAGTAATCGCTGCCGATACAGCGATTATGTGGAAGGTGATTCAGATTCGATCTCATGTAACAATTCGTAATCCACTGTCAATTGTTTCTGGAGGGCAATCAATGCGGGTAAAGCTCTTAAACTCACAAATCCGCTACACACAGATGAATTTCCAGCTCACTTACGGACGAGAGGCTCGGCTTGCGCTAAACTTTGTGATGCTGAGCGCCTGCTTTTTGATTATGACTGTAAGCTACAATGTAATCCTCGGGTGAGTTTTCACTTCTATTACACACATGTTGCTCAGTTGGCAATTCGCCAATTTTGTACTTTTCTGACGGTCTTTTTCATATCTCAGAGATGGTATGTGGCGGGACATTATCACAAAGTTTACCTTACTTCTCAACCTGGCTAAATTGGCTATATACGCGCTTGAAACGCCAGCCATCCGCTACGAGATTATTAACTTATTTGGATGTTGCAAAAGAATAGAAGTTTGCGCATGAGCAAGCTGATCCAACTATTAGAAGCGCAGGCAGCCTCGCACACGATCAGTTCCATGACTTACTGTACAGTTTCAAAATATATCTGTAATGCTTTTTTCACAATATATATTAAGCACATAAGTTTCGCAACCTTTTCCATAACTTTTTCCTTATCTAATGTAGCACTCTCATTCTCTGATATCATGTAGACTGTGATATTACGCAATTCTGCGCAAAGCGTTTGATTATTGAGAAGGTAGTAGATAAAATTCAAAAAATTTTCAGAAACCCTCATAAATTCAAGGTTTGCACGGGTTTTTTGGCAAACGTGAGACCGTAAAAAGCCTGAATCAAACATATCAAAAAAATTATAGGTTGCACGTATGGAAGTTGGCATATAGAATCAGCAAAAAAGAAGTGAAATCTGAGGACAAATTAAAATAAGGCGCTTTTGAGATGAGAAATTGAATGCTCTACGTCAAAGATTACTTATGTGCCAACCTAATGTTATCTTCAAAGATTAATTCATTTCAAGTTTGCGACTGATCACACGATATGATGAGAATGTTTAGCTGAGACTATATGTTGATTTCAGCTCTGAGGGAAGTGAGCCGGTTATCTACAGAACTGTAAAATCCTTGTTTACACATGATTCAGAAGTTCGTAATTAATTTTCTCACCAGTGTTTGAGTTTCGCAAATCCAATTAACCAAAAGAAGGAATTAAGAGAAGTGGAATTGGCGCTGCACAGCACCCAATGAATCATTTAAGTGGAGACATTTCCGTAATGACAATGTTGCATCATCATCATCATCATGGGCATCGCACGATGGTCTTTCTCTGAATCCCAGCAAGTGCTCTCTTTTGCGTCTCAGAAGACATGTTTGGGGGTCACGTTGTTATATTAAACAAAAATTACATGTTTTGTAACCATATAGTAGTAATTTCCATATTTCCATTTACTATCTTTTTCTTTTTTGCAAGATTTGAGGCCAAACTTCCATCAAACAGTAAAATTTGATATAATAGCGTAAAAACCTTTCAAAAAATGGAATAGTATGCCTTGCAAGTCGGCTACCCGAGCTCTCCTCGCAATTGATAAATGCCAGCCTGTCGCGCGCGGCGCCTGCGTAATTGACAGTCACAATTAATGGGATACACCCAGTCGAAGTGGCCTTCCAAAATAAGATGTATGTCAATTTGGTGGGCATAAAACGTGATTCATCTGCTTACTTATCTGCGGAGCATCTATGGATGAGGAACTTTGAGCGTTTATAAGAACAAAAAATTGCATGTGCAAGTAGGATAAAAATAATCGTAAAATTTTTTCTAGCGCTTAAATGAAGCAGAAGTAACTGGCTGAGAAGTTTATGCACTGGATACTTATAGATAGAATACATCCCCATTCCGATGCAAGGCGTAAGAAATTTTTAGCTGATTTAAGAGCATTCAACTTTTGCTCGAATAAACGCCCATAACTCCTTACAAGAACAATTATTTGCTCTCTATCTTGATATAATGGTCTTTAACTACGGTATCATCACATTTCATTTCATGCACCTTGATCAAACTCCCGCGTTGGCAAAGCTTATCACTATATTTGATTTGCCTGATATTCTTACTTTGGAACAAAATTCGATTTCAGATGCTTTTGTGAACGTTTTCAGAAACGTTTTGGTACACCATGTATACAGAATGTGCCATAAATTTCCTGCGCCATTTTTTTAGTGTTTCGATAAAATATTGAAAAATTCGGATGGCTCTGAAGTTATTTCGCAAGAGTATCAACAGTTGTTAATATCCAAAAAGGCAGGTATTTGAGAGGATAGTATTGTGAGGATTAGACTCTACAATACTCGTACTTTGGTACAATAATGCTTTCAACTTTAAATTTTGCTCTGCAGCTGTACGGATTCGACTTTTTTGGACTGTTTTACGCTGTGGGAAGCGCAATTCTTACTACCACAAGTTTGATTGTCATTGCATTTCACAGCAGCTATTCAGCTGTTTTCTTATATAGGAAAAATTCCTTTGTAAGATCCACATGCGTGCGAGCAGCTAGGTGTTCAAAATTAGCGACGCTCTAAAAGCAAATTTCATTGGACAAAACGGAGTTCTTATTTTATAAGACTACAAATGATTGTCTGATTAACATAAACTGGTTTTGAAACTTACTTAAAAAGCGAATTCTGCCTTTTAGGTGCAGCAGGCATATGCTTGAATATGTATTAATTTTGAAAGAAAAGAGTGTCGCATCTGCGATTATGCTATCCAAGCAGAGCCTAAGAAACTGACTGGGGTAACAAATGATAGAGCCACGCAAGCTCTACAAGACGGTTGTCGAACAATCGCAACAAGCTCAATTCAAGTAAATTTGAAGCCAAAATCTAAAGGGTTCCAAACGCCCAACAAATCAAAAAGAATCGCATCTTTCTCAAAAATAGAAAATCTGCGGCTGCTCGAAGACTTACCATATTAGACATTCATATGTATTAGGTCGTAAGAAATTCTATCAAATGGAGTATAGGCTAATTTGCTTTATCTATATCTTCACCATAAGTGGCTGTCTATCAACGCTATTTTATAACGAGTACTGACACCTTAAATTAATGATTAAGTATATTACGGATGCTGTTCTCCGAGAAGCGGGCTGGCTGCCTTCGAAACGGGGGGAGGAGTTCGATCTCTCGCATGTTAAAATCAGTAAGCCATTTCTTACTCGGAATAAGACCAGATACCGGAGAAAGTGAGTCGGATGTCGTTTTACCAGTTTAAGCTTCCACAAGTGCTGCTCATCTATAATCTGAAAAATGCACCTTTTTGCAGTTTGAGCGGAACGGATTACTCTCTTTTTAGGGGTACTAGCTGGCATACCCGGCTCTGTCAAAACGCGATAAAGTTCCCATCCCTATTTCGCCAACCCCAGTCCTATAGCTCAAACTTTGCAAAATCGATGAAATCGATAACGTAGTAGGTAATTTCAAAACTAAAACTGTATTCGTAATCAGCATGCTCACTTGCCTCCCTGTGCCAACTTCCACCCCCGTAGCTCAACTTCTTAGAAAACCGATAAAAATCGATAAAATCGATGTCGATCGATGAGAAAAGTAGTCTACGACATCCGCCCCGCCCCAAGTGTATGTGTCAAAAGCTTGGTCGATCGGTTTAGAATTAAAAGTTTCTGTTCGTGACATACTTACATACCAGTGGTGGACCGAAGGGGGGAGGGCAGGGGGGGGGGGGGCCTCTCTCCCGAGCATTGGTCGCGAAAGTTTTGAAACTTACTTGCATGGGTTATAAAAATGTGCAAGTGACTTGTTTAATCTTGCAAACAATTAGGATAATTCAAGAATTTTTAAAAATTCAAATTAGCCTTGTAAAAAAATTTTTTCCGGGAGCGTGGACTCAGCCACGCCCCTTTTTTCAGGATTTTAGGGCTATGAACCCGCAAAAACTTTAAGAAGCACTCCAAAAAATTTTCGGACTGTGTGGCTACCTCCACGCACCTTGAGAAAAAATTTTGCTCCCCCCCCCCACCGGTCCGAAATCCTGGAACCGCCACTGTTACATACAGACATACAGACATACAAACAGCTTTATCAGCACAAATTTTTCCCAGTCAAAATGTACTCGTAAGAAAAGATTCAGAAATAAAATTAACTCTTGTACCTTCTCAAGCACCTCTAGAAAGCAAAATTCAAAATGCTACGATCCAGGTTCTTCTCCTGATCAGCTTGTATCACCGCGATATGTCAACAAAGATGTTTGCTTGGAGCACTGTTAAAAGACGAATAATTTCTTCTTTCTATTAATAATCTACATCTGTTCTAACAAATTGGCAGAGAGCATATACTTGAGACTTTTTGGAAGTTTTGGTGCAAGACTTGGGCCAGCCTGATAGTATGTCAAGACATTAATATATCTCCTTCAGGCAAAAACACGGAGCTCAGACACTTGTTTCTTATTTCTTTTGCATCTATTCTTTTTTCATTAATATTTGATCTTCCAAGTGAAGGTCCTATTGTCAGAATATAGCTGAATGCACTTGCACCGACGACGACAGCGCCAGCGGACCTGTTCGGAAAGAAATTAAAAGGAGTATGACAACAAAAAATTCTTTCACGTCTGTTAAACTATTAATACTCCATGTTATCAAAGCTAGATCAGGCACAACTACTGTGATAATAGAACACGTCATTGGGTGTTAGAGGCGAAAAGAAATCATCCGCTATGTTGTACTTTTCAAAGAGGTATTTGTACGGCTATGAGATTATCTTAATCATATTTGCCGCGCATGAGCACGTCATGGTCGCCTCCAATGTTGCAGTCGCACTCATCTCTCTAGGCACTTGATGGCGATTTTGAATTTGAACTGTAGCAATCCAGTTGCGAGCAGGGTACTAAGGAAACTTGAATGCAAGCAGTCGTGCTTTAACAATCGTCCGTCAGGTGTCTACTAAGATGCGAACTATATATTTTGTTAATCACGTGCCATTTTTCGCGCAGCCGGACCTCCATGTCAGGTCAAACTGTACCCGAGCAATACGAGCGCGAACCGTGGCGTAAAGCTCTACCGTAACGATTCTGCCGTGTAGAAGGGAGTATAGGGTGTATACCACAGCCATGCCCTGTAGTTTTGGTTGAAACAAACTGTACTCGCCATCAAAAAACCTTTGCGCATTTGATCTGGAAACGTAAAACCTAGGGCGTTATAAATCAATCTCCCACCTCGCTGTTGGTCATTAACGGATCCACGGACAGGCGAGTGCGCCATCCTTGATTTATAAAATTGGAGCGTGCGGCCTAAACGGGTCCAGTGGCCGACCTGTCGAGATCGGGCAGCGCGATCGGGTACCTGCCGTGCCCGACATGGCCGAACTTGCCAGATCAGAATATCTTCAAGAGACAGTAGGCCGGTCATCAGCTTGGCTTCGTGTACGCGGGCGCCGTGCCCGCGTCTACCTGTACACTAATCCAGTCCCATATAGGAGGTAAACATATACGCCCTGATGGGGGCGGTG